TGATCTTGAGTTTTTTTATTTTATTTATGACCATCCAATGGAAATTTTGTTGTACAATAATTATGAGATTTTGCTAAAGTAATTGGTTTGAAAGAAAAAAAAATAAAATAGTTTTATATAATAGTTACTCCATATTGGCAAAATATATACAGAAGTAAAGCAAAAATATAATTCAATTTCCAACAGAAATGCTATGTTCAGATTGGTAGATCAATTAACTAAAACAAATATATGGCAATGGTATTGACCACAAAAAAAAATAAAGGATAAATTTAAGCTTGTGCTATTTTTTTATACAACTGATACTAGGATCTGCCCTATGCATATTGCACATGTTTCTTAAAAATAAAAATAAATTATTCAAGACAATTTAAAAAAAAAAAAAACCATAGTTGTTGTTTGTTTTTTCTTCTTTTAAAAAATTAAATTGAAAGAAATCAGGATTTTTTTTAAAAGTACAAAAAGAAATAAATATTTCTAAAAAAAGAGTGCAGCTAATTGATATGGCAATTAAAAAAGTAATGCACAAAAATCACTAAAATTTATAATAAGGTTGAATTATTATCTTTAAAATTTAGATTTCTTCGTATTTGAATTCAATATTTAAAAAGATAAATCATCTCTTTGTTACAAAGTTGGTGTATTGTTAGAGATAAAGATGATTAAACTAAAGTATATTTAGTTTCATTATTCCTACCTTGTTAGCAATGTTAAAATTATTTTTCATAAAAATAAACTAATTTTTTTCATATATTTTTTAAAATTAATTATAAAATTTAAACTATTTACATGCAATCTAATAAATTTAATTTCGTTGCTACTACCTTTTTTTATCTTTTTTTTTTTTTTTTTTTTTTTTTACCTATTCATAATTAATTTCATCAATTCGATTTAAAAAAATATATAAAAAAATGTATTTAAAAATAATTTTTAAGTATAATATGTAATAGAAATAATTATTAAAATTATGATTATTTAAATTACATAAATATAAGTATGATTATACATTATATGTATATGTATATTATATGATTGTTAAACAAAAAAGTTATGTTAATTTTATAGGTTTAAAAAAACTAGCATATAAATATCTTATGAATTATACACTTCTTTGATAAGACTTATGTTCGAAGAAGCTTCTATATGGCTCTTATATTAACTAATATGTGTAAATATATATATATATATATATATATATATATAAGAAAGATAGATAAAAGCTCCTTTAATCTTGTCAACACTTCTTATACACTTAAACCTTGTTTTTAGACTCTCTAATATCTTTGTATATGTCAATAATTACTTCAAGTTTTTATTATTTTAGAAACTTGTCTCTTCTTAATTTTTTAAATTTATTCTTTTTTATCATTTTTATTTTTTTAATAATATTTTATAAAATTTTAATAGATATTTATAAAATAAAAGTTCATTTTTTTTGATACCAAGTAAATTTAAAATTTTAACTTGATACTTTGATCTATTTTATTTAATTTTAAATTAAAAAATAATAAAAATTAAAATTCAATTAAATTAAATTATTTTTTAACTTAAATCAGTAAAAATTTCAGATTTCAGAAAAAATAAATTAATAATGTAAACTTAATATTTTTAATATTTGAGATTATATTAATTTCTCTAACTTATTACCAAATTTTTACACATAAGAACTCAAAACTCTAAAAAGAAATGAAAAAAATAAATAAATATAAATATATATATATATATATATATATATATATACTTAATTTAAAATACAATAAATAATTTAATTTTGAAATAAAATAAATTATAACTAATTCACATTGAAATATAAAAAATAAAATAAATTTATGAAATATAAATATTTAGTTATATTTGGATTTTAAAAATTAAATAAAATTGATAAAAAAATTATGAAATAACAATTGTTTTAGTAAAACAAATACATAAAAATTATTTTATCTTATAGTATGTTATACAAGTTATAAAAAACTGTGATAAATTATTCAATAATATTAATACATAAAATATATGGTATTTTTGTATTTTATGTGTAAAATCATACATACATACACACACACACACACACACATATATATATATATATATATATATATCCCACTACAAATAAATAAGAAAACTACTAGGTAGACACTTCACATGCACCTCACCAATAATACACCACTATTATAAAATTTTCAACAAGTTGGATACTAATGAGGCAAAGGACTGTGTTTATGTAATAGTTTTGCCAAGTGGACACCCCATTTTATTATTTTTTTTCTTTGCTTTGATTAGCTTTTATATTGCTGATGTATATGTGTTGTATTTTATTTATTTATTTATTTATTTATTTATTTTTATACCTTTCTGCTTCATTAGTATCCATCTTATTGTGTATTGTTGGTGTGGCATGGGGGAGGAGGGAGGGAGGTATGTCCACACAATAAAAGGAAGTTGCCCATCTAGCAGTTTTCATAAAGAAATCATTGAATGCTGCCTATCTATGTTTTTCAACATAACTTGTTTTCTTTAGGTTCAAGTTACATAAAATGATTGATCTTTATATCTCTATATATATGTTAATTTTTTTTTCATTAAAAAATTAAAAAATCAAAATTTCAGGATACCTCCAAAAGTTAATGTTGTCAAAACTTCTGATACAGTTATCTGTTTCAAATATTGCAAGCTAACATTCCTCACTTTTCTACTGACAAGATTATTTTCTTAACAATAAAATTTCAAATACTTTTAAACAATCAAAATTATTGCTAAAATTTACTTTAAAATTATATTATCATTCTCAATTTTTTTTTTCTAATCACTGAAATTATCTCTACAAATCAAACCATGAAATCCAATTAAGAGTCTGTAGCTAACAAGGAATAAAGAAATTCAGGCACCACAAACAAATGTTCACATAAACATTTCCACCTCAAATTTTACTTTTTATATTTACACATCAAGAAGAAGGGAGAGAAAAAAAAAAAAAAAAAAAAAAAAAAAATCTTGCGGAGTCGTCGTCGTCGTCGCAGGAGGACTAGGCCACCGACGTGAGTGTCCGCGACAGCTGCACGCAATAACCGTAGACATTTAGTTACTACTGTTTACGTGTTTCTCGCGATTGACGAGCTTCTCGGAACTGTTTGGATTTGTGGGGTTCTGCGTCGGAGGTTTTGAATTTCTAGAGCCGGAATCGCAGGACTGTATATAAACCGTGTGTGGCGTCGAACCTTGCTTTTTGGATCAGTCAATTATTGTCGATGCCCTGAATATTCTGCGGGGCACATTTCGTGACGTGAGATTTATCATCTGAGACTGAAAGAGAATGAATTAGCAGTAGCTGAAGTGTAATTTCTGCGGGGTAGTTGGAACGATCGGGTTAAAAAAAGGGGGGTGTGGAGAGGAGATCGTGTCAGGCAAAGTTCATGAGGGGGTCATGAGATTTCTTGGACACATGGGCCTGCGAGTTCGGGTTAATGGTGGATTGGCGTGATGGTGCGCTGTGTTACTCGAGGTGATGAGGCATCGAACGAGCCAACAACGGGGTCGAATGAACAGGGAATACAGCAGACTCATCGAAGTGAAAGTGGTTTGACTGGTTTAAGATTATTCCTACTTGAGCATTCAGAAGGCTGCTGCAGCTCTGAAGGGTTCCAGCGCAGTAACGTTTGTTAAAGTGTACCAATTCCCATCTATTCATCTCCTGCACTTTTCTTGAACCAAATAACCAAAATCGTCATACCAGTGTGACGTTCCGAACAGTCATTTGCCTAATTCAAGTTGGCATTGATGCGATCAACTCACACATTATTCTCGCTTGCCGCTTTAGCATACTCTGCATCTTGGACAAAGGTGAAGTTCTTAATCAACCTAGACGTTGGCTGCTAATTCATTCTCTTTCAGTCTCAGATTATAAATCTGTTGGCTTCGGACATTCAGACCTGTAATGTCATTGTTCCAGGAAGACCACCTTTACTCTCACTCATGACGGAGTTGTAGTCTCTGGTGTCGCTTTCTCATTACAGAAAATTTGGAGAGGAACTTCAAGTGGTTATACATCACAAAGCTACAGAATCTTCTAGTGCTTGCAATCAAGTGCGAAACGATGGATTGATTTCTCTGCTGGATAGATTACTTGGTTCACTAGACAAGTGACGTATCATGAATATCACTTGAATAGAATGTGGTTGTTTTTTGAGGAATTGATTTTTCTCTTGTATTATTTAAAATCATAAAAATAACTTATCTTTTTTTCATCAAAATTGTACTTTCGACTTTTAAATATTTAGAAATTATTTTTTTTCCCTAAAAACTTGTTGAGTGATAAAATATTCTAACTCATGTTTCATAAAGTTTCAATGCTTAGTGTAAAGTTTTAGCATTTCCAAATATATGATTTGTAAAATTCAAATTATTGAAGTAAAAATATCAAAGAATCCAAAAAAGAGTTATAAATTTTGAATATTTATAAAATTTGATTAAGTTAAATCTCATAATCCATACAGTTTTTCGCAAGTTCTTTACATACTTTTATCACTTTCAAGAACTTGTCAAAAACCCACACAAAATTGTTGTGATCTTGATATAATCACTAGATGCACAACCATCTTGACATGTTAAGCATTAATAGTAACAAGTCAAATAATCAGAAAGACCCGAGCAAGATTAGACGGATTTTCATAAATGTTGATCGCCTGGGGATAGATTAACAAACACAGTTTCTACAGTTTCACAATTATCTAGAATGATGCGCTGTCAATCAATCTAGTCAAATCCTCTAAACCAATTGCAGAGTTGCAAATTTGCGGCCACGGTTCTGAAGAGAAGTCATCATAATTGCGTAGCAGAGGTTATTTAACTGATTCGAAATAGTCAACTTCAAACTTAAAACCAGCTCCAATCCATGAAGCTTCCGCCCGTGAGTCAGAGTTTCTGTCGACAATCTCATGATGATTTGTGCATCTGTAACTGGTCAATGACGTGTGTGGCTCTCGTATGGCTGAGATGAGTGAGGCATCGAGAGTTTGGGAGAGTAAGGATAGTGTAATCCGTATCGATCATGAAGCCGGGGAGTTGCATTATTTGCGATCTTGGAATTCGTTGGTTACGGGAAGTGATATCCTCCTGCGAGTGCGAGGCAATGTTTCTTTACAAGTTGTGTTGCGCCGAGGGAACAGTGAAGTTTTGAGATTGACTCTGTCAATTGAGATCACACCATTGAAATGGAGGAATGTTGCTGGGGGAGTTAAAGTGGTTTCACTTGGTCGGTGATATGGTGGATTTCGTGATTTGACTCCAATCTGACTGAAAGGCTCAATCTGACAGTTAGAGTTGCCTGCATTAATACTTGGAGCTTAGGGAGTAGGTGTTAGAACAAGGGTGACTACCCACTTTCCAATTTTCCAGGTAACATTCTTGAGGGAAGCACACCTCTTCTGGCGCTTCGCACGGGTCTGACACAAAGCTCTTTTCGTCATCCAGCTCAGTTCGCTGAGGTATCTCGTCTACGTGGGTTCGTCATGTATGCAGTCACCGGCTACCATTCAAGCCGAGAAACTAGAGTGAACCCTAGAGTATTACCCCTGACATTTGCAATTTTCAGAATTTTTTGGGATTTCCTCGGTGCTTTGGAGTCGGCCAATCACAGGCGTGGGGACGTGGTCAAATTTCATTTACACGGCTGCGCTTGTCTTTAGAAGTCACCGATGTCACGAGATTTAACTAGATTTGAGGTGCCCAATGTCTCCTAGAGCCATTTCTTGCCCGATCTTTTCAGACTGATGTGTGTGCGAAAGATGCATCGCTGTTGGAATCCTCCTTGACCATTGCGCAGTCATCCTCCAGTCCTTGGCAACTGATTTTCCTTTAGCAACCCCCCCCCCCTCTTCCTGCCGCTCCCGTGTCATAAACTTTAATGTGATTTGTTACTGAGTGGTCATCAGAAAGGTCTAGAGATGTATCAGAGTAGCACTCGACGTGCTATGCAAGCAAACAATTGTTGAGTTTGTTTGAGATGAAGAATCTTTTTGTGCCGTAGTGTGATGGAGGTAACAACAAAGGCTGAAGATTCTCAAGCGTAAGCACTATGGATTAACAGAAACAGGGAAAGACTTAATAGGATCTCACGCAATTGGTTACGCGGCGATCCTTCGTACTATTACAAGGTATCAATGTAGTGTCATTGGAACGATGCGGATTCGCAACCTAGTCTGCGCGTGTCTGTTCGACAATCGGTTATGATTTGGCGGATTGAATCTGGAGCCCTGCGGTGGTAATTAAAGCTGGTAGTGTTTTCACCCTCACCGTGGTGGAATAGATTGCGGGCTACACACACGCATTATCTTGAACACGTAGACCCTTTCCGGTTCAAACCCTTTGTGAAGCCCGGGGATTTCTTTGGCTCACTACAAGCCCATTGCTCCAGCGTCTGTCGCTGAGGAGATCCTACTCAGCTTTGCCTTCAATGTGCATTTCAGGAGAAATAATTTAAACTAGTCTGTGTTCAGTTTGTTCTCGAGTGCTGAGTAGATGATTAGATTTGTGGAATCTCTACTTTCATGTCGTCTTCAGCATATTTGTACGTTCACGATACTGCAGAGTTTTGCAAACCTTGTTCCAGAAACTTGTGAATGCTGATTGCAATTTGTTGCTTCGCTGTTTGGAATGCAGTCTGGCAGGATCCTCGAAGCGTGCAATTGTAGTGTTGTCATTCTGCGGTGCTGAGTCGTGTACACCACTTGCTTGAGACGGCGAACCTTCACCAAGACATCCCTCTTGCTCAATTGAGATTCACTTTCCAAACTGTCGGTAGATCGGCTGTGGCTCAGGTGGAGTAGAATTGTGAGCTTGCGACATTTTCGATGACAGCACTGTGATTACTTTCCAACATCTATGCAAGAGTGGCGATTGATCAAGGCCTTGAATCAATATGTCAACTTTTCGTGCTTGTGGCCTTGTTCGTGGTGCCGCCGGATATTTGTGACTTAGAGGCTGGGCTCGACATCACAGGAAGCATCTACATTTGTAGAGCGAGGAGAGAAGTTGATCCTGCAGCCGTGCTTATGCCCTCGAGCCCACGTCGCTATTTTCTTAGTTCTTCTCACTGGGTACGATTGATTCTGGCTGATCAACTTGATCTGCGTACAATTAGACAATGCTGGCCCCCGAAGCTCTGGTCCTTTCGAGTACCACCCCTGTAAACATGTCGGGAAGACTTTGTTAAGCATTAGATGAGTCGGCCAGCTCTCAATCATTAATGAGCACTCAATAACTGTCCAATGTACCAGGCAAGGATGGTCCCTTTGGTAGGGAACAACTTGAAATTGCGAAGACAGGAGCTTGTTTTGGTTCCAGAGAATCAAAGGATTGGAAGTGTGAAAATATTTTGTCGGAAGCCCGTGTAGAGAGTTGAAGAGTTGTGGCAAATCTGGTAGTTTATTCGAATGAGTTCACCGTAGCCTAGGCCATGTTTATAATCTCGCTGAAGAAATGGTCATGAACTCGTTAAGGTGCGTCCCATTGTGTACCCGGTCAAGTCCTAAAAAGAGTCTGACATCCTTAGGATGATTGAGACGTACCGATCCGTCACCACTCTAGTGATATGAAATGTGCTGCCTCCCACAAGCTTCTCTCTCTCCTCCGCCCCCAGATTTTCATCTGATCAGCTTGTTGCAGTTAAAACATTTCCCGAGTTTGGAAATTCCTTTTCATATTGTCCAGCAAGTGACGATGAAGTATTGTCTTCCACGTTGCAGTGCGAAGTTGCTGATGGAGGCAACTAAGAGGAGCCCCATGGCCTTACGGGAGGATCTTTTTTGTTCTGAATGAGAGGAACAATGCGAGCTGTATCAAGTATTTTTTTCGAAAAGTGGAACTAGTAATGGTACATGCTGTCTGCGCTGACCCAAATTCAGCAATTTTTTATTTTATTTTATTTTATTTTATTCTTTTGCTTTATATCCTGGATTGACGTGGTGACTAATGCTGTGTCTGGTAGGCACATCTCGGAATTGTTCAGAGTGAATTGCGTTGTAGATTCTTCTTTTTTGGTATTAAGTACTATCATCACAAACGCAAGATTTTCACGTATAATGGAGCTTTCAAACGTTCCGGCAGACATTAAAGTTTCGCTTAAATTTCCTTTGACATCCTCATCATCGACGCCTCAGTTACCTTCGTCTTCTACTCCCATGCGTATATCACCCGCTGTCTTGGGTTTTCCTGTGCTCTAAAGTGCGTTCTCTCAAAATCCTTTTCCTTCATGTCCTCATACCGTTTTGTGTTATCGGTATTACTCATCTAAACCCCAAAGAAGCTCGTTTCTTAAATGATTCGTAGTGGAGCTTTGACTGCGGCCATAAGTTCCCGAAACATGAGAGCCAACTCAGGCACCTGTACAGCTTCGTCGTTCACGATGTGCCCCTCTTGATATCGATCGAGACTCGATCGTTGTCCACTGTCACTGAGCTCAATAGGTAAGCCAACAGTCGCTTTCCCAAAATGCCACCAATCAAGTGCAAGAAAGAGGGCCACTTAGTCTCTCAGACGACGATGTTGGTGGCGAACGCACACGCAGCATACCATAGTTTGAAAGACTTTCGAAATCACGGCATTTTGTGTTTGGATCTGTAAGATTGATACGGGTTGCTGATAGAGCGGTGTTTTTGGGTTTGCCATGGGCAGCTCAGGAGTTTAATGAAACTGCAAGCTTCAGTATACGTCAAGAGTTGCTGCTCTATAGTCCACAAGTTGCTGCGATCTATGTCAGGCGCCAGCCAGAAACCAGGTGACATTGACGGGCCCAATGTGGGTGGAAATGAGCGATCACTTGATGCAGTAGCTGGTGCTGACTCAGGAGCTTACGAGCAGGACGATTCCAGCGAACGCGTGGAAATTCTCACTTCGTCGAGGAAGCAAGAGCCGGAAGTGCGGAAGAAGACCAAAGTTGAAGGGGACACTCGGCACCCCATCTACCGCGGGGTGCGTAAACGGCCTTGGGGCATCTGGGTCACCGAAATCCGCCGCCCTAAGAAGAAGTCTCGCATCTGGTTGGGCAGCTTCGCTACAGCGGAGATGGCAGCGCGGGCCTATGATTGCGGTATTCCCAATGAACTCTTGAATCTTTGAACTTTCGTTAGCGTTTGCACAAATCTTTTTCATAGAATTAAACATAGAATCAGTTAACTCATTCGGATTCATACTGTTTTCTTGACAACAGGGTGCTGTTTTGTATTGTTTTGTTTTCGGTTTTTTCCCGCATTGCAGCTGCTTTGGCTTTGAGAGGAAATGGTGCGACCCTAAACTTTCCCAAGCTGGTACACTCTCTTCCCAGGCTCACCGATCTCAGCGACAAGTCCATCCAGGCAGCGGCCACCATTGCCGCAAACAACTTCGCACATCGTAGTGAGGGAAGCAAATGCTTAGAGATTGCAACCTCAAATTTGTTGTTACCTGCGATATCTCGGGTAATCAAGTCTGACACAGATCACCAGCAATACGAAGAGACTTATGGCGCAATGCAAGCGTTTAAGAGCACATTACTGAGACCTGAAACCTCATCCCGAATTTCTCATGACTCGACTTCAAATAGAGGCAAGATCTCGTCAAATCAGAGGAGGGAGGACACTAGTTCAACCTCACAATTTGCAGCAACCGGAACTGGCACTAACCATAAGTGTAATACCGACTCTTCGCCTAGCGGCACGAGTACGCCCGACAACGTGAGTAACAGTAGCAGTAGGGATCAGTTAACGGAGAAATCACCACAGCTAGTAGCGGGGGAAAGTATTCCTGATACCCCCCGCGTTCAGCAGCCAATGTACGTGGATGCGGACGACGTGTTTACGCTCGGGTTGACGAACTTGTGCGATGCCATGTGCATTCCCCCGCCGGACTCTGAGCACGCTACCGAAACCGACGGAGAGGAGGGGTCCAACACCTGGGAACCCCACCTCTGGAGCTATTGACTTTTATTCAATTCTCACTCTCTACACTCGCTTTTATGTTGTATAATTATTTATCAAGAAGACCCATTTGAAGGGAAGAAAAGAAAAGAAAAACAAAAAACTTCCAAATTCATAATCGCACTTACAATAAGAGGCTTTGTTTCTGATCATCACTGTTAGGATCTCTTCCATACTGCTCTCACCCTTCTGAACTCAGAAGAACTACAAGACTTTCAGTGCTTCACTCTCCGGTTATCTTCATGTCATGAATGCTGTTAGTTTGCCGCAGCATCAGAATTCGCAATCCAACAATGGTCGAAAGGCAGCAACGATCCATGTTATGGATTGACCGCGACCTTAGTCGATAACGAAGCATTGCTCGTGAAACAGACTGGCGGCCATGAGAGAGAGAGAGAGCCATGACATACTAATTTCATGTCCCTGCTCGACTGCTTTGTTGTCCTACCTCGGTCCGCAGAAACTTCTCATGTCTCTAAGAAGAACTTCCATGTCCAACTTGGAAATTTAATCAACCACTCAGGTGTAAGGAAAGGGGGAGTAGGGTGGAGAATACTTGAGGGGCAGACTGTGCGGTGGCTCTTTCCAACAGAGGCTCATAAATCATCAGCAGGACAAAGGAGGGGCAGGTGAAAAAAGCTTCCTCTTCCATGTCCGGTCATCAGGTCTCCTCAATCTGGCCGTGCAGGGCAGAATGAGTAGGGATGGTGGGAATTTCGAAATCAGCTGGTGATATGTACCAGACAAGTCTAGTCTTAATGAACCCGGGGTACAGTATTCTCCTCTTTGCAATGCGATCTCTGCAGAAAACTGTACACTCGCGGGCCTTCCCATTCTGCACTCAACTCATGACTCTACCACACTTCATCCCCTGAGCCCCTTTTTCCCCAGATACGACCCACAACCGCCATCACCACCCGCCACTACACCACGCACCCTTGCTCACAAACACACACACACACGAACATCGTCCACAGATCTTGTTACTCTTTGACTCAGTGCGGTTGCTAAGTCCACAACGTAGCACTCTTTGCACCTCTGGCTCTGTCTGTCTGTCAATTGGAAGCCTTTGCAAAGGCTCAAGGGCGTAATACCAGAGCCTGCACAAAGAGTACTAAGTGACCCATTTGGTATATTTAATGCTCTGTGACAAAAGACAACTGCTATGTGACTCGGACCGCTGAAGGCTGATCTCACCAAGGCAAGGAATTGGTCTCCATGCCATGAAGTCAATTGGAATGAATCTTAGGAGTGCAATATTTTGGCCCTATGGATTGTGCCCCCCCTCCCCATTTTTTTATTTTTTTTTTTAATATATCTGGCTTGTACTGGCATGTCATGCCTTGATGGTTACGAAATCGTTGGTTTGCAGTATCCACATGGTGGTGAAATCATATTGCAGAGCATCATTAGCAGTGTTTTTGTAATATCTGTGTTACTGTGTGCGTTGTTTTGATTTTCTGGGTGTGTAAACTTTTTTTTACAGCTTCTATTTGTACACTTGACTTCATTTTTATGTTTTCTGTTTGAAACAGCTGACTTTGGTACAGCTTTGGGTGCATGTAAGATTTAAATATCAGGTCAATTGTCAAATTGCTTGAAGAATGTGTGTTGCAGTAAATTGAATGGTTTGCAACATGAATAGGCATTCAAAGCATTCACCTGTTATGATTTAGTTGAATTTCATGAATTATATGAAGAACTTCATTGATTTCAACGTGTTTGTGCAAACTGAAAATATTTGTTTGAATAATTTCTTTCAAATTGATATCTCAGAAAGAATATATATATATATATATATATATATGCATATATACATATATATTTGATTAAATAATATATCTAAAAGACCTCAAAATACATTTATGATAACTTGGTATCAAACTTTCTTTACTTGAGATAATTTTTTTAAGATTAAAAAACGATTTTTTTATAATATTTTTATAAAATATATTCCTTAATAAATTCTAAATTCATAGATGAAATAATTAGATTTATTTTTTTACTATGTTGATTTATGAATCTTATTGTAACAATCCATTCATTCAAAACAAATGATATAATAAATTGTGGCAATTAAAATTGAAATAATAACTTCTAAGTGTAAAGTTGTAAATTATATATATATATATATATATATATATATATATATAATAAAAATATAAAAAATTATGTAAATTTGTTATTATATTACATATTAAATTATAAAATAAATAGTTGAAAGTATGAGCTTATTAAATTTACATTTAAATTAAATTTTAAATATTAAAATAAATCATGTAACTTAAACTTAAAGATGCCATATATATATATATATATATATATATATCTTTTGGTAATGTCAATCAATCAAATTTATTGTTTATTCCAAATTATTAAAATAAATATTCTTATATAATATTAGGTAACTAAGTAAAAACTTGATATATATTCTTTATATTCTTTTAAAGATGTATAATGCTAATAATTTGTTATAAATTTTATTGTTCTTACTGTTATTAATATACTAAAATGCTTCATTTTTAATAATCATTTTTGTTTTTCTTGTTCATTATGTATTTATATTTTCTCTATTAGAAACATTTATATATATATATATATATTTTTTTTAAAAATAAATATTTATATGTATGTATAATTAATAAAAATTTATTTTAAGTCTTAACATAGCCTTATGGAATTAATATGATTCTAGATTCATTTTAAAAATGGTATCATTATCTAAAAAGCACTTCTAATTTAGTTATTATTTATATAGTTAACAAGAACTTTAAATATTTCATGTTTGCATATGTTTTAAATTGTTATCAAGCCCGTTGGAGCATGTCTTTATCAAGATTTGATTTCAAGATCACTTATTGATCAAGAAATTAATAAGGTTTGTCAAATATCCTTTTTAGACATTCTTCTCTTATACCAAAAGAAAGCAATGTAGCTTTTATTCAATAAAAAATAATCTTCTCAAAGCCAGAGTAATATAAAAATAAAATAAATAAATTATATTTTTAAAAAACTACTAAAGTAATTCTTAAATATAGATTGAATTTTTAAAATACCTTTAGATATATTATAAAACTAAAGAAGTTTTTTTCAAAAATTTCTTGTAACTTAAAAATCTCTATAGATATATTCTACACTTAGGTATTTAGTCTACTAACCTTGTGATCCTTAAGAAGCTTACATCTAATCTTTTTATTATCTTGTATATATAAAAGCAAGAATGAAAATATTTTTAGTCTTATCAATGTATTTTTTGTATTTCAATATTAATTTAAGGCATGCTAATTCTTTACAATTGATATTATTAATTCTAATATTTATCTTTATCTTTTTAATATATTTCTTTTTATATTAAATATTTCTTTTCAATCATCCAAGACTATGTTATCTTTTAACAAGTATTTTTGAAATTAAGTTTTTAAAAATTTGACAAGACTAAGGTGTATAATATTCAAGCTTTAATTTTTTTTGTGAAAGAGTATAATATTATTTTTTCTTCAATACTTGAAAAATAAAAAATAATTTTTTTTAATAATTTATAATTAACATGAAGAAATTTTTGTAATAATTAGCAAACATTAAATTTTTTAATAAAATATTTTTTTGTATTTGCATATATTTTAAAATTTTAACACTTAGAAACTGATATTAAGTAGGATAATATGACTATTGGTTGAATTTTTTTACATCTTACAACGTGATGTATAAAAATTCTTCTTGATTTTTCAATTCATAAATATTGATTTATACAATCAATTTTGTTCTACTATATAATAATTAAGTTTTAAAATTATATTTAGAAATTATTTTATATGTAAATCAATTTTTATAGTTTTACAATAAATATTTTAATTAATTAAAAAAAATCTGAAGATATATTAATTGATACTATAAAATTTAAGTATATTATGATTAAAAACATATTAATCTAAAATAAATTAGATATTTTGCATTATGTAATTTTTATCTTAATTAGAAAATATTCATGGATATATATATATATATATATATATATATATAGATATAGATATTATTTTTTTAGAATAATGATATTTTTAATTTTAAATATATATATATATATATATATATATATATATATATATTAATGTAGCAAAAGACTCTTTTTCAATTAGAATTTATAATAAAAGTCAAACTGATATTAAAAGTGTTAATATTTTATTTTTATTTTTAAAATACTAAAATTATATCATAACATCATCTTTACATCATTATATAATCAACCTTCAAGAAAGAACTCAATCGCCATTAGGAATAATTTACAACCTATTGCAAATTGAATTAGATACTTTTAAGACACACATTAATAAAGAAATTATTATTAAATATCAAGAATTGCTATCTTTTATTTTTATTATCCCAGGTTCTCAATCAATTAAATCAAGTTATGATGTATGAGAAATTATATCTACAAAATGCATGCAAACTTAAATAAACAAATAAATAAAAATATAAATAAGATTATATGCTAAAATAGAAAAATACATATTCAATACAACTTATAAGAATTGTTGGACTATATCACTTTAAACAACAATCTATAAATGAATTCAAAAGATGTAAAAATTATTATAAATTATCCTATTTATATACTTATAAAAATTATTATATACATTTTTAGATTTTTTTATCTATTTAAAATATATATATATATAATTAAGAAATTAAGAAATTAAATTTTATGAGGAATTTTTCTGAAGTTATTGCAATCAACTTAGAAAAACCAAACAAAGTAATGAAGGATGAGAAAACAACATTTGAAGGTCTTAAAACAATGTTTACTACAATTCATGTTGTATGTTGTCTAAATTTTGTTTTTTAGATTATTTAAGACGATAGAAAGAGCTTCCATTCATGAAAACTTGGTTTGCTGGACCGCTGGAGAGAAGCTCCACTGCCATCAACCACAACTGGGGTATCGGGAAACTGGCCTCCCAATGGTGTTTGCCCGGTCGAGTCCACCCTCATCTCTTGTCCTTTTTCTCAAACAAAACCTCGTTATCGAGAAACAAAACCTCGTTACTAGAAGCAACTCGCAGCAACTCTGTCACCGTTCCAGTCGGTAAACGAGTACCTCACTTCTTCAATTCTTCTC